TCTATCTATCTTTGTGATCTTTTTATGTATGGGCCATTCCTAGGGGTAATATTTGTTTTTGCATTATCTTTTCAGTGTTCTGTGTGAATTTTTGCAGAACAAATATTGAAATAAGGTCAATCTCTCGAGTAGTGAATTGAAACAAGAAGTCCTTGAGAAAGTTATCTGATACAGGAGTTATCTTGGAGGACCACAATGAAATTTTACTTATTGTTTGATCATAATCTTCAAATATAAATATAAATAGTTGAATTTCTTATCTCCACAATTTTATTTTCGTTAAATGATTGTTGAATTTCAGAGATGGTGAAAACCATGTTCTCAGTTATATTGAGATAGGAATTATTTGTCAATTTTTCTGACAGCAATCAAAATTCTTTGTATCTTGATGGGGGTAGTGCATGAGATCCTTATCCTCACACAAGACATACAGATTACAGAATCAATCTGACTGTTAGTGTGTGATTATTATTTTAAGAAGCTTTCTCACAAATTAGCATAACAATTACATGTGCATTTAAATTTTAGCTTATTTGGAATTTGTGGTGCAAGGTCAAGGTTTCTTATTCTCCCCTGTTTCCTGAAAAACCTTTTGAAGATGAGAAGTCTTGTTCAGAAACATGTTTCCTGAGTATTATGGCTTATCACATGCAGTTTTGGAAGCTGACTTTTCTTAAACAAATACTTCCTTCTTAATTTTGGGTCCTCAAGTATCATTATCTTGCTTAAGAAGGTCGCAATTGTCATTTTCCATATCTAAAAGTTGCCGCTGCATCAGAAATACTGAGGCTATATTACAGACCGAAATCAGTTTTTGCGACAATTAGGTCAATAACCTACGACGCTTAGAACTGTCATAAATCAAGTATGCTGCAATCTTCTTCACAGGGAATTGAGGCCCAATATATAAAACAAGCTCCACCAGATCACCAGGTTGAACACTTGAAATGATACTTTGCCATTCCGTGTCTACATGGAAAGTTGCCGAGTCTCCCTTGCAGTGTTTAACATAAGCCTTCGTGTAGTTAATGATCAGAACATTGATGATGAGAAATCGAGGGCTTCTGTTATCCATGAAAGAAGAATACACAACATTGAGAAGCATCGCTTTCAAGTGACAACCTATGACTTGAGGCACCTTAAAAATTACTGAATGTCCTTCACCTTTGTAGATGAACCAATCAGGATACTGATCACCAGGTAGGTGAGAACCACCCCACCCACCATTATTCCATCCCTATATATTGCATCAACACAGGAATCAAGAGCTTGTATTTAGGTACTTATACAATGATGTGGCCCAAAAAAGGGAAAATAAAATATCGACTCCCTTCATTTTCACATACTCATTAGGCTTGTGGGAAGTAATAATGCATCTGTCCGGTAATAGTGTTCGTTAATGAAACTATAGAATTTTCATGCATGTAAGAAATATTGATGTAAGTTAGGTTCTTCAGATAACTCATATTTCCAAACATGATTGGGGGTAGAAAAGAGAACAAAGACAAACCTGTAGTATTCTGTCTTTCAATATGTCTATTTTGCTGCTCTCTCTCATTTGAATTAAAAGAGAATAGAAGGAATCCGCTGGTCTTGCATTGTTAACTTGATCATGACCGACAGATGATGCAGAAGCTCCCACGTATGAGAACTGTGATGTGCTTGGCGTGGATTCCAATTCCACGAAGTTTGTCCCATAGAGGGCATCCAAAAGTCTCGTCATTTCTCCATTGGATCGAGACTGTGATCGGCATTCCTCCCACATACCTCGAAGCTTGGCAAGATCGCCTAGAAATGGAGATAGGCCATGAAAGCCGTCATTCTGTACAACAGAAAAAACTAGAGATGACATCCTCAGCAAAAATGCTTCACTGCTGGACTGGGGAATATCGGTCGGTGACATCCAAGACCATATGAGAGAAGGAAATACATCTTGTGCTCTTCCTTTAAGGCCTGGGAAAGATACATATCCATGCTTAAGCGCTTCCAATCTTACTAATGACTTGGGTACTACTGTTATGGCAGTATTATCTGCCTCTAGTACCGTCATGGATTCCATCTGCTCAATATCTTCTTCCAAATGGTCAAGCAACGAACAACCAGAAAGAATGAGGGTTTTTACTGATTTCAACTTGTAGATGCTTCTAGGAAGAACCCTTAGGCACTTGCAGTCTTCTAGATTTACCAAAATGATTTTTTTTAGATCTCCAATGCTTTGGTGAACTATCTTCAAGCTCGGACAATCTTTCAGTACTAGCTTTTCAAGATTTGGCAGGTTTGTAAAATCAGGAGTTTGTCTCAAATAAGGTGAGTGACTGAGAATGAGGATTGTCAAACACTGCAACAACTGCAAAAAAATGAAGTTTCATGTGAAAAATTAATCAAATTATAATACTAACGTCTTAAAACATTTGACAAGTGGGGAAAGACAAATTCATACTTGGGGCTTCTTCCAAACTAGCCTGAGGTTGCTGTATTTAAAGTCAATAGCAACTAAGTTTTTCTGATACAAGCTGTCAGGTATAGATTTTAAAGGAAATCCAGGCCAACAAAGCCACCTTAGCTTATTGGAAAGATGCCTATAATCTCCTTCAAGATTTACATACTCTAATTGGAGCAATCTGAGTTTTCTCATTGCCTTGAATGCCTTAGCATCAATCTCACATACTTCATGGGGCTTCTTTAAGGATATGCCCTCAATAACTTTTGTTCCCTGTTAAAACATACAACAAAAATTTTACAAGAAGAAGTATTCACCATTTGCTAAGAGAAAGGCAATACATAAATTATACATGATGCTTATGACAAAGGGAATATGGAACTCGTAAATTGAAGCAACAAAAAAGAAGAAAGTACATAACTCTTGTTTTCTAGTGAAAAAACAACGCATGTTCTTTGACATTAGAGCGTGCAAAAGAAAATAAGACATGAAAGAAATTCTTACCGTGTTTTGCATTAACACTTCAGTTACATCCTCCTGAAACCACAATCTACTGCGATCCTCGAGGTCCTTTCGTGGGCTTCCACAAATGATTTCTCTTCCCATATCACGTAATAAGTCATGCATTTCAAGCTTATTATTCTTCCTATTAAAATTTACTAGGCATCGCTCAATGAGGGTTGTTATTCCGATTTTTGCATTAAATCCACATCCATTTAATATATGCGTCGCATAGTTTCTATCCTTATTGATAAAGAAGCAACATATGTCAAGAAATATATTCTTCTCCATATCATCCTTTAATCCATCAAAACTTATTTTTAACTTTGCTTGTATCTCATCATTTGGAATCCTTTCTAGTTTGGACAACACATCCTCCCATTCTTCAATTTCTCTATCAAACAAATAAGAACCAAGGACTTCAAGAGCTAGAGGAAGTCCTCCGCAGTAAGCAACTACATTTTTAGAAAGTTCTATGAAGTTTTCAAGGGGAGCTTTTTGTTTAAAGGCATGCCAACTAAAAAGCTCGAGTGACTCAATTTCATTCATTGTTTCCATTTTATACTTGTGATCAGCTCTAATGACACTAAGCAGATGCAGATCTCTAGTTGTTATGACTATTATACTCCCAGGACAAAACCATTCAAGACTTCCACATAAAGCATTTAGCTGATTGACACTATCCACATCATCCAATACAATAAATGCTTTTATGTGGGGAAGTCTTTCCTGAAGTATCTTTATCCCTCTATCAACGTTAGGTATCTTGAAAACTTCTGTATTAATGATATCAGAAATGAGTTGCTCTTGCAAATTAACTAGGTCATTAGAATGCTTTGAATTTTCTCTTATCTGAGCAAGAAAACTTCTTGCTCTTCTAAATGTACGACCAATTGTATTGTAAAAGGCTTTGGCAACAGTAGTTTTGCCAACGCCTCCCATCCCCCAGAGGCCAATGATAAGAGCCTTTGTTAATGTCTTTTTTGACAATTTACTTGTCAGTTTCCGAACTTGAGACTCTATTCCTACTGGACGCTCAGCAACAAACAATTGTCCAGCATCTACTTTCTCTAAAACATCCTTCACAATGGTATCAAGCAGCTCAACTTCGGACCTGTCAATAATAAATGTCCGTGAAACAATATGATCAGACACATAAATAGCATCATTATCAGAAATAAACCGACAAGACTTACTTTTAAACAGAAGAATTTTAGTGGACCATTAAGAACAAAGAGGACCAATTTAGCTATTAAATATGTATATGCATCATAGGAAAAACTTTCAAGCGTTGGATAAATCGCGGGGCATTAATTTCTGGAACCGAACAGAAGACTTCAAAAGGAGGCCAATGGCACAAGGAGGCTATTGGGGCTTTGTTATCACTCAGTTTTTAACTCTTCATATATTTTTAATTGGACCCTCATCTGCTCATATTTAGCACAGAATTACAGTATTATATTAGAATTAGTTATTTGTCCAAAATATTAGAATTAAATATTTGTCCGTGGCTGCAAGAGCAAAACAGGCAACGCAATTATAATAATTACTCCAACATTTTCAAGTGCACGATGAATTTATAGCGATAACTTTTAAAACTCACATAAATTTATTGTAAAATAAAAATAAATTATATAAACTGCGTTTGATTTTTTTAAATGCATAAATTTTACTCTTATTTTCTAGACATATATAGCCTTTGTTTAACCTATATAAGAAAAATATAAAAGACTTCTAATTTTACTAAATTATATAATTTTTTTTCTATTGAATTCTGTTTCGTTTTAAAAAATAAAATGGTTAATACAAACTTTGCCCTTCAAGTCTACCTATATGGTTTCTTTTCATTTAAAGTATTGGTATTTATAATTTAATAAAAATTTAGATTTTTTTATTTTTGAGAAACCAAAACCTATGATTTGAAATTTGAAAAACTAGAAAGAAAAAAAAATTATATTAACCTTAAAATAACATTATGAAAGCATTCTGAGTTTGACACATCGTAATTTCCTTTTCCTTCTTTTTTTTTTTTTTTTAATGAGAGCTGGTTTGGAATTCGTTACCGAAATGTTCCGGAATCAAACCCAGAAAGGTTGCTGATTTCCGTGAGTGCCAGCCTCCACCGCAGCACCCGGTGATCACCGCCCCCTCCCAACCTTTGCTCGTGTCGTTTCATCGCTTCACCATATGTACCTGTCTGTTTACGAACATGAGACGGATCTGTGTTATAGAATATGGGAATAACCACCTGAGCTGCAGATCTTCGACACTCTATTATGTTCACCAGTTCATCCAGACACCATCTGGAAGATGCATAATCTGGAGACAAAATTACCAACGCAATTCGTGATCGTTCAATTGCTTGCAATAGTGAGGCAGAGATCTCTTCTCCCCTCTCAACTCCTTCATCGTCCATGAAAGCATGGATCCCTGACCGCCCTAGAGCGCTATAAAGCTCAGAAGTAAAACCGTCACGAGTGTCTTCGCCTCTAAAACTCAAGAACAAGTCGTAAGTCCAGGAAGAACTAGAAGAAGAAGAAGCCATGGCTTATTGAGGGAATCAGGCAGGAGGCCAATCAATAAAACGCTTCAACGGATCGATCACAATTCATCACAGGAGCGTGACTTCATAATTGATTGCTTTATTAGTCACCCACGTCTGAATACTTTTCGTGCAAACAAGTCAGTCAACCACAACTGTATTTGGTCCCCAGAAGCCAGGTTTACCGCATCGTATCTTTCCTACTTCGCTTTTGGGCTTATTCTCTCCCATTGATATTTTTAAAGGGCAGGGAATACGGGACCATTGACAATGATGGGGGCTTAAGATTAGGCAGTACTGGTTTTTTTTTTTTTAAAAAAAAAGCTGTGATAATAATGAGTTTGACAGTTCAGGTGAATTATCATAGTGATTGAAAACATGATATAAGTTTTTTTAAAAATTTTATATAGGATATAAAATATAGTAATATGAAAAATAATAATTGATTTTGACATTGCATGGGTTTCAACCTGTATTATCACATCTACCTTTTTCATAGATAAGTGGGCCTTTGAAAAATAAGTTACATTTTTTTCTTACATATTACTACCTCCGGTCCTAATTATAAGACCCAGTTGACTTATTTGAGGAGATTAAGGAAGTAAGTTAAGTTAGTTATTTGTAATAAATAAGTGTTGTCATTCCTAAAATATCCTTGCTAATTAAGTGTATTGGCTAGAACTATCATTATTAGAAGGATTATCTTGGAAAAAAATGCATAAATATAAGAGACAAAATGGATTGGGGTCTTATAATTAGGACCAAACAAAAAGTCAAACGGGGTTTTATATTAAGGACCGGAGGTAGTATTACATTTAATCATTTTTAACTAGCCTTTTAAGTTACATAATTTAATTATTTGTATCTTATTAAAAAAAAGGAAGTGTAAGTCAGTCTTTGTTTAACCTTTCTTTGCAAATCAACGACCCAAAATTAAACAGTAGTGTAATCATCTATAATTTTATGCTTGGTCGAGGTATCTAAACCACAAAGGCTCAGAATTCGCCTGTCTATGACTGTACGTAGCTAGTCTGTTGCTTATCATAATCATTAGTCAATCACTCAGTAGCCCTGTTCGATATTTTATTTTTGGCCGCCGTGAAAGTTGAGAAATTCTTAGTTATATTATCACCAATTCATCTTAATTTAATCGTAATTCTCACCCTCTCTGAGCGGATCAGAGCAGTTTGTACTGAAAAAACTAATGTTAAAAAACATGTATTTTAAGTTAATCTAAGAGCTTGTTTGGGAATTATTGGGATAGTTCCGGACAGCCTCAAAAACCACTTGGGAATAAAAAATCAAAAAGGTAGTCGAATCAAAAAATACTGTTTGATATGGAATTGAAGGCTGCTGATTTTTTTGGTCAAAAGTCACTTTAAAAGTTAAAAAATTTTGAAAAAATTAATCTTTTAGTCATTCAACTTTTAACTTGGTGGCTCAATCTTTTAGTTACGACTCGATATAACTTGTTCTCTAAATTTTTAACTGGGTTAAAACTCACTCTTTAATTTCTATCTTGCTTAATAAAGCACTCGTTCTTACACATGACTCATCCTACATGGCAAAAGGGGGTGTTGCTGACATTATGAAAAATATACTCACGTCGCTTCCAAGTAAGCTCATCATGGCTGGAATATGGTCCTCATTGTTCTGATTGGGACAAAATGGTCGGCGTTGCCAACATTGATTGAAAATCAATGAAGTAGAAAATAAAATGGAATATGAAGAAATCCACCCACCTGCAATGAAAATTCAATACTGGTGGGGACGGCGTTTGAACTTTTGAAATGGAAGACGTGAGTGGAAAACTTTTTATGATGCTCAAATTTCCACATTCTCACGTTTTTTTTCTCCTCCATAAATTCTCCTTTGCCCTAGTCTTATCCTCTGTCTAGGGCTGCTTATGAGATAGATTGGGACTGGGACAGGTTCATCCCGATTTTTTTCTTGATGAACAGTGACAGAATAGAAAAATTGTCCTGTGTCTCATCCCGTCCCGGTGTTATACCGATTCTGGACGGGACTGGACTAAGACATCCGATATGATTTTGTTTTAATGTTTTTTGAGTTGTTAGACCTATTGCAATAAAATCTGATTTTTTTTATCGTAGTTTTTTGGGCTTAGCCCTTGTAAAAATATCTTTTTTTTTCTTAATTTTCTTTGGGCACCCTTGCACAAAAGCTCAAAATATTGCATATAATAGTCATTAAAAACTCTAAATAAAAGCTTGGGTCAAGGTGAAAAATACCCATAAATTTATACCAAAAGTGCAACCATCACCATAACTTTTTTTAAAGTGCAAAAATACCCATAAACTTATAAAATTAGAGCAAAAATGACATCACTGTTAAATTTGACTAATATTATCAAAGTACCAAAATCCCCCTAGATAAAAGGAGAAAAAAAAGACGAGGTGCAAAAATATCTATAAACTTTTAGTCAAAGTACACTAAATACCATATGCTTTTTCACAAATGTAAAAGTACCAATGATAGTGAAAATAAATTAATTCTTTCAGTTTTAGCAAAAAAAAAAAACTCTATTAAATTTTATCATACTATTATAATACTAATAATTTTATTGTTAACTTATAAGTTTAGTTCTCTAAGTTTATCAAGTTTTAACTTAGTTTCTTAAATATATAAAGTATATTTTGAGTTACTAAATGTTAACACCATTACTGTCATTAATAGAAAATACTAACTCAATGAATTTAAATGGTAACTTTGCTGAAGTACCCATGAACGTGTAAAAATTGATTATTTCATTTTTTGAAAAAAGTATTATACTATTATACTTTTGAACCCCCAAATTTGCATCAAGTTTTATTTTAACCTCTTAAAATTATAAAGTTTATTTTTAGTCCATTAATATTTTTATATATTGAAAGATGGTTGTTGATGTTAAAAATCAGACTACATCTTTATTAGATTTTATTTTAAATATTTTTCAACTTACAAATTTTAAACTAAAGATTAATATTTCAATATTTAATTACAAAGTTACCATTTAAATTTGCTAGATCAACCTTGACTGTTAATGAAACCGACGGTGTTAACACCAAAGGAATTAAAAATACACTTTATAAATTTAAGGAGCTAAATTAAAACTTGATGTGAATTGAAAAGACCAAAGATGTATATTAACCATAAAATTATTAGTATTACATTAATATAATAAAATTTAGTAGATTTTTTTGGCTAAAACTAAAAGAATTAATTTATTTGCATGGTCATTAGTACTTTTATACCTGTGAAAAAATATATGGTATTTGGCGCTTTTTTACTAAAAGTGTACAAGTACTTATGCACCTTCGTCCTTTTTTGTTTTCCTGCGGCAACGGTATTTTGGTACTTTCATAACATTAGCATGGCCCCACTACAAAAGGTAATGGTCGTTTGTCAAATTTAACCCTAGTGCCATTTTTGCTTTGATTTCACAAGTTTATAAGTACTTTTACAAATTAAAACAAGTCATGGTGGGTGGTGCACTTTTGGTATAAGGTTATAGGTATTTTTGTATCTTGATCCTAAAAACTTTTAACACTATAAAAACTTGCTGAAAATTCTAATCATCAATAGTTTCAAATTATCAGCAAATATAAAAGTTCTAAATAAATGGATCTATAGTTCCATACAGTAGTCTCGAATCTTTAAAAAATATTTAAAAAATGATAATATGTATTATATAAATATGATTAAAAAATGAAAAAAAATAAAAGGACCAAGACAAGACAACTCATCTCATGTCCCGTCCCGTCCCAATAAAGTTTGGACCAGAACGGACTGGCCTTGAACACCCCTACCACTATCATGGTAATCCAGAAGGGAGTTGCAGGACTCTTCTTTATTTGGGTGTTCGTACACTTCTTTGCCTTTTTTATTGACCATCGAGCCACTTCCCATCTTCCTTGCTAATGCCATAAAGAGCAATATCCCCTATTTTTAATATAACAATTAAAATAAGTAATAAATGTATTTTTATTTTTCTAAACTACTTTTATAATCATATGTATTAGAACTATTCTTTGATTAAGAACCCATTGGTATATATAACTAATAGGCTTGGCTAAAACAAATGTAGTTCACAGACAGGTTAATACAATTTTTGGTTCACATCCTTATTTTGGTTTTGATCTCTTAAGTTTCAAATCATAGGTTTTGGTGTTCAAGCGTTTTTTATTTAAAATATCGGTTTCTATAATCCAATAAAAACTTGAATCATTTTGCTTTTTGAGGGATTAAAACCTATGATTTGAAACTTGAGAGACCAAAATTAAAATAAGGATCAACTTAAGGATCAAAGATTATACTGACTCTTAACAAAAATACTCTAGCTAAAAAAAATATGTATAAATTTACAAAGCAAAGTAATTAAGATTTTATGTTTAGGACAAAAATAAACCGGTGAATCAGTTTAATCTAGTTTAATTTGGTTTGGTTGTTGAATTGGGCAAGAATTGAATCGGTATCAAACCAGTTAAACTAAGGTGCACCGTTGAAAACTGGTATGAATCGATGATGAACCGATTTGGATGATTATGTTACTATTGATTCTTTTTTTTTTTTTATCTCATTTAGCTCCTAATATCTCAGTCACTATTAATTTGAATAAATTTTAGTGATGATTTTCCTATTAATGATTATTAATTTTAGTTATAAATGAATAATAAAGATCAAAATTATCAATGTTGTTGACTTTGTTATTGTTACAATCAAACAATTATTATATTTTCTTGTATTTTGTTATTAGTAATTATTAATGTTGTTATATTTTGTTATTTTTAATTAAATTATATTATTTTAATATGACTTGTTTGATCTCTAGTTCATCCTAATTTGACCAACTAATCTTTGAATTATTACCTCAATCAGTTTAGTTCTCAGTCCAGTTTTTTTCTTTTTTCTTTTTTTGGCTACAAGTTATCTCAACTTCTTCCTTTATAATTTGACACTGTTTATATTATATCATTCATATCAAGGATTAAAAAGCTGATTAACCCTTCCTTTTATCTTAATTATATATCATTCCTTGTCTCAGGCAGGATGGAAATAAATA